CGAGATGGATATCCTGAACTTTTGATGAGAAGCCATGACCTGTGGGGTCAACCAGTCGGAAGTGAAGTGAATCCGAAATGAAGACCTTAGTGGATAGTCGCGTTATATCACGACTTGACAGAAGTGGGAAACTGTGGACGATTGAGCTGCGATCCAGTGACTAAATGGTCAACGTGTTCACCGTGAAACCTGAAGGTCCTGGGTTCGATCCCTGGGGACGCCGTGGGTGCCTACCTCCAAGTATTCAATATTAAAGCTAAACAGCTATCCAGTGTTGTCAGTTTTCCAATGGTTGTGCAAATGAAGTCAGCCAACGACAAATACTATCTTAGAAATAAATGTCAGCTTGTAGATATCAAGCCATTCCCTGTTCCTTACCGTTTCTAAAAGTCGGTCTGTTGACTTTATGAACAGAAATTCCAATTTATTTTTCTCGTTCAATTGAGTGAATTCTCATGTAGGAATTTGGAATCACGGAATTTCTCAACAGTTTTCCTCATTTCCCATAACCATAATTGTCATGTTAATACACAACGAAAGGAATGAAGGTGACGAGTCCACTTATTAAATGATATGTTTAGGAATATTATTTGTTACGATTTAATTCTTGGCCAAAAGAAGTGTTAACTTTAGCATTCAGACTAGTTGAATACTCATAAAACAAGTCTCTATAGTATTCTAATCACAAGTTTAGTCAAATTTATATAAATTTACCAGTTTTTAAGTTCATGTAACCAATCTATTTCAAGGTAGAGCCTGGTGAGACATTCATCAAAACGCATGTTTACCTATATTTTATCTGTTTGGTTAGTTGACCTTGGAACAGCATTTTGAAGCAATGGATCCCTAGTTATGACTCTCTTCCATCCATAGTTATGTCTTACAAACAATGGAAGATTTAAAGACCAATTTAACTTGATACAAGGTTGAACTTTGGGACCAGAAGGAAATTGCTGGCTAGCGAATGGAATACATGTACACAGAATGACAAAATAACCCTTTACATGATACATAATAGTAATTTCATTTTCCCTTCAAAGTTCTCTCATCACTGTTACAACAGTCACTTAGTTGCAAAAGAACATTTAACTAAAATCAGTAGTTTGTTTTACATTTCACTCCCAGTGTCTGATTTCACAGTACAGAAGGATGAAATAATTATGATATTAACCGTTTAACTTTCTGTATTTTTATTTCTGTCTCTTTTTCTGAGGAAGAAAATCTTTTAAGATTGATTTTCTCATATTGTTTCACTATTTTTATTCTTCAGCTAAAAGCCGTGTAACTGTTTATGCGTATTGTGAATTGTCATAATGGATGAAACAGTAACCTCACTAACCAGTGATAAGAATTTTATTACTGCCAACTGATCTTCCGTTTATCACTGACTGATTATTTGCTGTATGATACATATATAGCTGGGAGTTATGCTGTCTCAGTCATGCCTTGTGTTTAGAAATGACATGTTTACTCCATTGATTGGTCTCAATCACTTCGTAGATACCTAAATAGAGTCAGTATGCGAGCAATAATTCAGTCTTTTGATTATTCAGTTATCCGGGTTCCAGTAACAGTCATCATTGTGTTCAAACAGTACTGTTAAAGTATGATGGAAAGGTAACGGGATACGAATTCAGTATTGCTAATTGTATCAAGATGTTTACATCCTTTATGATCATGTAAACAAATGCAGATTATCATTAACTACTATGGGGTTAATACAGTTTTTTTGGAAGCTTATAGATGGAACGCTTTCATTTCACCTTCAGCAAGTCATCCTTACTTTTTGGAGAAAAAGAAAAACGTTCAAAACACACGTGAATTAGGCGTTAGCTGGAATTGCATTGACAGCAGCTGTTTTCTAAGGGAAACAGTGTAACTGACCTTATCTCTCCTAAACAGCCTAACCAGTTGGCGATCATTTTGTTATCCAAAAAGCAGCAAGATAAACCGATTCATTTGACGAATTGTAATAGCAAAACAGTTGTTAAATGTGTATTAGCCAGCTATTTACATTACTTTGAATGATCCGGCAACTCAGATTTAATCTGTCAAAGCCTACCCTACACGTCAGTGTAAATCCACCTAAATATGAACAACTTTTGGATGTATACAGGGAAAATAGGTTACTAGAACTAAACTACATGAAGCAAGAAACTGATGAGTCCCAAATAGGAGGAAATGTGCGTCTTGGATTCCACTGCCAGCCAGTATTCTTCATTACTACAAAGCAAGACGTCCTTCAAAATTATCCAAAATGTACGCTGCAACTGACCTGTCACACTGTCTCACCATTCTAGTTAGTACAGACAAACCCCATGGAATGGAAATTTATAACTTCTATGGGCAACTACACGAATAAACTGTCATCATGGATGGCAAGAAACGGTGAAGATACTCTACAAATTTGTAAAAATTGGGCAACACTCATCAATGGATTATAAATCAACTGGCCAGACGTACGATGAAAAGTATGAAACACCATCAATGTGACTGTATACTGCTTAGGTGTACTGAAAATTATGCTGAAATAGGTTTGTAGAATGCTTTACTTCTCAATGGTTCTTAAACAGATTCTAGTTTATGAAAAGTACTTACCAAGCATGATCACGTAATCAGACGTGTTAGCATTTCAGGGTAGCATTCACCACAAAGTGAAATCAGTTGGAGAACCATCTATAACATGGAAGTCCTGGAGAGATAGAGAACTCTTTAAAAAAGTGTGTTCACCTACGATCTCGTGAGATGTCGAACTCAAGACTGTGAGATCAAAAACTACCAAATGTGTTTTAATACTTGTCAGGCATATTAGGTTTATCGAAAAAACTACAAAAATTCAAGTGAGTTGCAAATGAAAAAAGCGCTGAGCATATTTTGAAACGAACACGACGCCGTTGTAATACATCTTTCTTAACATAAAATGTATTTATACCTTAAAGACTTTTCACAGATTTGGAGGGGAAAGGTTGTTTTGCTTACATGTACGTGTGCACTAACTAGGTCGACTGTTATGTGTAGTGAATGAACACCTTAGTTAAATGAAAATATCATTTGCACTTGCATGTTGGTTATAAATCGAAGGAATGTTTCTAACAGTATTTTGTCACGCATAGAAATAACATCCAGTTCACAAGATCTAAAAATCTCAGCTAATCTACGCTGTATTTTAAATGTACTAATGTGGATGCCATAAGACAGAAATTGAAAACCACATTTTGTGCCGGTTAGACAATAAATTCATCGTTCCTTGCTGCTGAGACAGGAATTCAGATACTGTTTCCTTCGACATGATTGAGGCACTTAGCGAAATGTCCTTAATTACCTAAGAATATTCTTGTACATTCTCATTGTTGAATCTGCTTATTATTATAATCATGTTATATATTCTATTGATTGTTTATTTCTCAAGCTAGGGACCTTATACGATGCAGAATATTGATTGCCAAATCACATGCACTAATAAAACTAAAAGACTTCAAATTGGCATTCATCATTGACTGACATCAGTTGGAGGAACATCGGAAGCCTGGAAGCACTGGACAACGGTTTCGTCCTAGTATGAGACGCCTCAGTAGTACGCACCCATCACTATACACAGTCAGGTATCGAATCCACAACCTTCAGGTTCCACAGCCAGCACGTTACCACTGAACCAATGAGTTGGACTCCAGTGGTCCATATTTCCAACTTCTGTCAGTTCATAACATAGCCCAACCATGACCGAATGTCATGGTGGAGTGTTCGTCCCCACGACCACCAGGTTTGCCCCACCGGTCACGTCTTCTCTTTGGAACTTCAACTACTTTCCGGCTAACACTCACCTTTGAACAAACTTTTCGGAGTTTGGAAGAAGCTTTGAAAATATGACTTAAAGAAGGCAGATTTTAAATAAATATCACAAGTGTTCTTCTAGCACACACGAAACCTGAACGCGAAATTTTTGTTTGTCTTTCGTTTAATGATAGAATTGTTTTTTACTTATACATCTTCTAGTTGTTGAGAAGTCTGTGAAATTTGTTGTGGCTTTTCGTCATTCACATTCCATCTAATAACAAGGGTATGGATATCACTCTATGTCGAAAAGGTTACACAACTGTTCTTTGCATTTTGTATCACCATTCTACTTAACTAAGCTCTGATTTCTTAAGTTTTGCACACAAACTGATGAAAGAGGTGCCACTTTTTTACAGGCCACTAAATGCATAAATGTACAACGTTTTAAGGAGAACGGCTAAAGTCCTTTCTTCTAGTGTAACTGAGACCTATAAGAACCTTAGTCAATTTTTGAACTATGTTCATCGTTTTATAGACAAATTTTCTCAATTTGCGCTCCTTTATCATGAGCACAAATAAATAAATAAATATGACTGGTTTGATCATGTTATCAAATCTTTCTGATCCACGAAGTGTTTTAAGGTACAATTCCCTGCATTTTATACACTTTGCTTTCAAGGATTCAATTTCATAGTAATTATTGTAGAGAAATTAATTACTCCGATTAAACACTGAATTCTACTAGCATCAAAAACTGATTAGAGAAATGTAAACACTGAAATTAAGTAGTACATAAAACATGTTAAAGTTGATTAATTGATTTTGTATTTCATCCAGATACTGGTAAATAAAGTCAAAATTCACTTCATAAACATTTCTTCCCATCCACTTACTTCAAATATAAATTTAACTCTTGCTTTCCTTTTTTTATCATGTTGAACACAGATTTTAAATCATGAGCTGTAAAGTAAATTGCAATGTACATCCGCTGCTTACCACTACTAAGTATATAGGAGCAAAATCTATATAACTCAAGGCGGAATCGAGGCTCCCGTTCAAGCATGGGGAGATCAAACTGGCCGAGTTAAATAATCAACAAGAAATTCCCATCATAAATAAATAAGTACTAAAAACGAATCAGCTTTCCTTCAGCTGTGATCCTAATTATCATTACAGTTACTATAGTAAACAATATATAGGACAGAATCAATCGCTTTTATACTTACTTTTGTGATAGTACTGAATTAGACCTTCAGGATAAAGATGACAGTGATACTGAACAGTTTGTGTATGATGTCCGTTTATTCATATAAAGTAAGCGAAGTGAAAGCAGAATCTTTTTACTCAGGATTATATGAGAAATAAGAATAAGTATAAATATGTACATATAGTAATAAGCAGCCTGTCTTCCCCCTGTTTACGGTCTTGCTGATGCTGATAGTGACGGTGATGACAATAATGATGATAGTCGATCACGGTAATACTGAAGTATACTGAATGTGTTGTACGAACCAAGGTGTGTTTTACATCAACTAACTCAAAGAAGTTTCTTTAAGGTATGTTGCTTTGGTTTAATATATTTCTGAAGATTGGAATTTTGCTTCGTAGTGCTATCACTTTATATTGCTGTGTAATGTACACTTCTTAAGAGTAAAGTATGCTTACTTTTGCATGTTTGAGTCAAATATTTTGTAGTAGTGGTGAAGAGATATTATTTTAATATTCTTTTCTGGGTGTTTCCCTTTCTACTGACTGTTTTTTCCTCTTCTATATGTGACATACTTCTACTCTAACAGTGTTTATGTGGATTGGTTAAATATATTTTGAGAAAGGAGTAAATATGCAATCCTTTTTCAGTAGAATTTCTGTTTCTGATGATGTCTCAAGGGGGCTAACCAACTGGAGACATATGCGTCGTACAGTATGTTCTATGATGCGTAGCGAAATCCTTCTTCTCAGATTTTGTTTGTTTGCTCATACTCTGTTTTTCGTTAGGTTCTATGCACACATTTGCCAACGGATTCACAGGTATACATACATACTACATACATACATACATACATACAAAATCCTGTAGTGGCTTTCAAGTGATAGGAATATAAGGTGAGGCAGTAAGAGAGGTAGGCAGAGAGATAGCGAGAAAGAGTGAGGAGGAGTTTTCAAATCACTGACTTCTCGTAACTAAGACAAATATAGATCGATATTTGTATTGCATCCTTTTCTAACTCCGGAAGAACCAAAATGAATATAAAAAAGAAACTATCTGGAGATGGAACTAATGTAATCTTAGATACATCTTTGTTTATTCAAGTAAACAATAGGATAGAGAATGCAAATTAAGTAACTTGAAAAATGTAATTTGAGGTTTAAGGGGATTTTATTTTAAAGGTATTATTCATCATGGACTAACATCAGTCAGGGAACCACTGAAAACCTGCCAACACTGGACAACTGTCTCACCCTAGTTCAAGACTCTTCAGCTGTACGCACCCACAATCTCATGAGGGATCGAACTCAGGAATTCCAGGTTTCATGAAGAACGTATTAAGAATTCAGCAGCTGAGTTAGTTCACAGTTTCCTCCTTTTGTCAATTCTTGATATAATACAACTGCATACAGAGGTCTTCAGTTGGCACTCATTTGACTTTCTACTGGTTAACCCCACAGGCCACGGCTTCTCATTAAAACTTCGAGATATCCATCTCGAAGCCTGTCACTAATGGGCCCTATACAGTAAGGTAGTTTAGGGTTTGCGGGAATTTTATTTTTAGGGTTGTATTCATCATGGAGTGACATCAGTTGGGGGACCATTAAAAAGCTGGTAACACTGGATAACTGTTTCGTCTTAATGTGGGGCTCCCCAGCAGTACGCAAACACAACCCAGCCAGGAGTCAAACTCAAGACTGTTAGTCCACGATGAGAGTACCTTGGACAATATTCTTAGTATATTACGTCATACGAAGAGGATTAGGTAATCAACAGAATATAACTGTCACTAGTGAACACATTATGTCTTGACGAAACTTTCTGACTAAACAAAGCTCTACAACAAATCTGTTCGAGCCAGCAGTAAAAAACCATGGTATTCCTTCCAGATTATTTTATGTCCAACGCCACCTTTCCACAATATAATCTAGTACGGGTTCGAACGTTGCTGCAATATTGTTAATTGCTAACACCATTCAACTGTTTAACTGCTTGAATACTGTAGTGCTGAACAAATTATAAATGAATCAGTTAGCACCAGCTAGTGCTTATGACACGTTTGTAGTTGTTTCGATGCACTTAGGGAGAAAACAATTTCCTCCTAATAATCAACTACTTTGTATTAGTATACCGACTGACGATCATGAAGAAGGCACATTAAAATCAGAAGAAATTCATTCCAAGTGACTCGAATTGGGTTGCACCTTATCTTCATCTTAACCAGCCATCAGTTTGATCCTTATCAGGGTCACGGGTGAGCACTGTTGAGGAGTCCCATGCTACGACCAAACAGCTGTCCAGTGCTCCTGGCTTTCTTATGGCTCTCCGACTGATGTCAGTCCATGATGAGTACCAACCTGAAATCAGTCAATGCGCCTCCGAAAACCTCCAAATTAAGGTGTGTTATCTGCCTTAATCTCATTCAGTTCGTTATGACTTTCAATGACTTTGAATAATTACTCCTATTTCTCCAAGTTTTTTTCTGTTGATTCATAGTATTTTAACTTGGTGATATGAGTTGTAGTAACTTGGACTATTGTGCAGTAATGCCAGATTTATGCTAATGTTGATTAGTTGACTAATTCGAGACAGGATTAAAACCACCGGCTTCGCAGTTATCACTTCCTTTCGATACCCAGTGAGTTATAGTGCCTATCTAACAAGTAGTTAAATATCTCATTTCCCTTCCAGTCACTTCCCATGCTTGATACAAAGACAGACGTACAACTGTCCCTTCTCCATTCAAATTCATCATCATACAAATGAGCCAAAAGTACTATAAGGCGAGACATACCAAAAAAGTGGTAAGCTAAATGGAATAACATTTACTTATAAATAAAGTTGAATGCTTGGAAATGGAATTAGTAAACAGCTTGACTTCATAAAGTAAATGTTAAACATGTCAAAGTATCAATGTAAAAGTGTTGTAAGTCTGTTGACTACACAGTTTACATAGTCAGCATAGAATAATCTGCACACAGATTTCTCACAGAAGCAGTCTAAATAAATGAAATATATTGATGTTGTAGTTTACTCAGTGGTGGCTACTAGGAGGAATACAGGATGTATGTTACGCCATTTTGAGACTTGCCGAATGAATCCACCTGCATCCCAATGAAAGATGGTATTCCCATCTGGACTCGAACCAAGTACTTGTCGTTTCAAACGATGATACGTTGACCACTAGGCAACTGGGGCAAGATAGCCACCTCTTGCGCAGTGCGTAACAGTTGCTGTTAAACAGTTTACTCGCTCATATATTGTCATTTTTATTCTACTTGAATAAGTATTCGTGAAGGTAATCCGACAAAAAAATAAACATCTCAAGATAGTATTCATCACTGACTGACATCAGAACCAAAGAAAGCCTGGAAGTATTGGAGGTCTGTTTTTTCCTACTTTAAGAATATTCACAAGACTATGTCCACAACCTGAAGAGGGAACAAGCACAAGAGAATCAAATCCCGTGGTTAGCACGTTGCTATAAAGACACAGGGTTGAAATCCGGTGGTTCATATCCTTCTACCTTTGTCAATTTGTGCCATCAGTAATTAATTGTCCTCACCTCTAACTTAGTTGATACTATAGCACATAACTTTTCAACAGAAAATTGGGAAATCTGTATCTAAGAAATCTTCTCATGAGCACTTGAACTAAGTCAGTAAGTGATTGTAGCTGACATTTACTTGCTGTTAACTATATAAACTGACTTTATTAAATAAACAAGTATGTGGACACAGGGGTTACATGTTAAAGAAACAGCTTATTGCAAGATAAATGACCACACCATAATCAGGAAGTACTTATAATTAGGTAATTCACAAAACGTTAATTTCTGATCATATTTGGCACGAAACTCGGCACGCCCAATGACAAAATTACCTATTTTTCAGAGAAATTTCCTACAGAAAGCCTCAGGTTTCAAAAATCAGGCTTAGTCTATTGATGATTCAAAAGATTATCAGCTAAAAAACATGCTAAAAGATATAATATATCGACAAGTTGACCAGGTGTATAACACCTGCTTTTAGATGACAACGCGAAAATACTTGAAGTAAAGCATGTCAAAACAAATTAGAGCTGAATTATTCCTAAGAACTGAAATACACATTGATATAAATTGAAGTAAAAGCGCTAAATCTCTGTAAGTGTATGCACAAAAATTTCATACAGTGACAAATTAAAACACGATACAATGCACTAACAGAATTATTTAACAGTGGAATGGAAAAAACTTCAAAAAACTGCCATCTGAAATGAATCCCAACTCAGAGGTGGAAATTAAGAAAATATTAATCATTTTAGGTCATGCTGCTCAACACGCAACTTCAAAACCTCATCCTACTATTCACCTCCATTCTCCTTCAATACAAAATTCATGTCCTTGATTCCTATCGAAATAATATGCCTCAACTTGACAAACACATTACAGCTGATCTTCTAACCAGTTCATAGGACTCAAATTGACTCAGCGTTTCAAATCAACTTCAATCGTTAACACACTACTCGTCACTCAATACACGTCAATACTCGATACTGGAGATACCACCCTCTCAACCGATGCAATCTACCTCAGCTACACAATATAGTTCTTGCCATTACATTTGCTTCGTTGCAGGCTAGTAGCCAAATCACAGCTTGAAGTGCCTCACACACGTGTAATTCCATATGGTCTGCACACACCGTTACTAATCAACCAGAGCTAGACCGTTATCAACTGCATTTAGAGCTGAAAATAGTGTATCATAGCCACGTTCCAGACAAATAATCGACATTTACTCCTATTAACCACGATTGACAAAATCCATTCATAATTTGCAAGAAGTGTTTATCCGACAGATACCTCATTCCTGCATGAGGACACACAAAGACTCACACTAAATTAGCTTTATATTTCATGACTGATACACATGCGTCATTTTCCAGACTGGTATCGCAGAAGTTGGCGTGAGTAAGCTTAGACCATTAACAATATCACAAGTGGACCGAAAAAGGGAGTCATACACTGATTATTGCCGGGGGGGTGGAAGGTGACCGGAAGAAGCCTAAATCGAAATAAGCATTCGAAGTTATCAGCAGCTAAGGTAGAGGTTTGGGATTTCAACCTTGTTTAATGTTATTGTGTGAGCAGGAAAAACCTTATTGGATAACCTTGTCCTTCAACTGACCAATGGATATACTTGTCCACTTTCTGAGGAAAAACTGAATATAAACGATGAATTTTCTGTCGAATAAAAAACTGCCTTACTTGGTGTCACGGGCCAGTTTTTGTCTTCTGATTTTCACGGCTCAATAAAGAATAAGGTCTGAGGGAGAACAGTCGCTTCTCGCATCCAGTCCAAGTATCTCACTGAATTAGTAGCGTTCTTGTATTTATTGTATATTTATTAGTCCCTTGAGTTCCGAATGGAACATAGGGCTTCACTAGCACGTCTCCACCTCACTCTGTCCTCTGAAATCTTTTGAACTTGGCTCCACGACAGTCCACAAGCTCTCATTCCTTCCTCGCACGATCACCACCATTTCACCCTCGG